GCTCCTATCCCGTCCCGATTACCTAATTGAGGGAGAAATTCGTGGCGGAGTGACGTGGGATGGGATGAGATACGATATTTTCCCATATCTTATATACTGAATTAAGTTGACTACTATAACAGAACAAGTTATGACATGATAAAATTGTTATAAGAACGCATTCTCCCCAAAATAAAATAAAAAAATTCATGTCGGAGTGAATGTCAATCCTCTAAGGTTTTTAATTTAAAGCTAATCCCTTCGGTTACACACTCCAACTCTTGTAAAGAATGGTAGGAAAATGAGTTTTTGAGAGAGGAAAAATGGATTTGAAAACCAACTTGTCGTTGTTCTTCTTCTTTTATGGTTGTTGGAATAATTAATAATTCCATATGTGGGCTTCACATTTGATTACAAAATTTTACGGGTTAGATATATGACTTATAATGATAATTGTGTTTGAGCCAAATTTATTAAGTGATCAATTGGGCTTTTTACACCTTACGGGTTGTACTTAATTTGATGTGGTAATTTAAAGTATGTGGGCCAGAAATAAACCATAATTAGAATTCTAGTCATAATGGGACGACTCAAATTATTTCATATATATAAAGGCTAGGTCCCCTCTTCTCTCCATATGTTTTATTGGCTTGCTCCGTTGATAGCTAATATTTTGTGAGGAGCAAGGAGAGGAATATTTAGACTGCTATTACTACTACTATTCATATCAATAATGGCTTCCGCAAGTATGAATTCTTTTTATTAATTTAATTTTGGTGATCTTGATTCTTGGCATGATTATAAATAAATATCAACATTTATATGTCAGCTTAAAGATTAGAAATTGCCTGACGGGGTGATGAAGAACAGTTCTGTTCACTGCAATTGGACTGGAATTGAATGCAATACCAATGGTGCATTGGAGAAGCTTGATCTTTCCTACATGAACCTTAGTGGGACTTTGTCCAACGACATCCAGAAGTTACAAAGCCTGAGTTTTTTAAACATGTGCTGCAACAGATTTTCTTCGCCATTGCCGAAATCTTGGTCAAATCGTAATTCAATCAAGATCATTGATGTGAGCCAGAACAATTTCATTGACAGGTTCCCTGTTGGTCTTGGACTGGCAGCTACATTGACAGCGTTGAATGCCTCAGGGAACAACTTTTCGGGTTATCTTCCTGAGGATCTTGGAAATGCTACTTTGCTCAAGAGCTTGGATTTGCAAGGGAATTTCTTTAAGGGCTCGATTCCAAAGTCGTACAAGAATCTTGGGAAGTTGAAGTATCTAGGCCTTTCGGGTAACAATCTCACTGGCCAAATACCGGGAGAGAGAGGTGTTCATCGCTCAAGACAATGGTTCTTGGTGAAGCTACCTTGGACCAAATTTCTTCATAAGTTATTCTAACCATACAAAGTACTTTCCAAAAATTATCTAAATAGGCTCTAAGACAGTTTCTTAGCCTCAAAATTTTTTTGACTTTTCAAAAATTCTGTCAAATTGGCACTTAGTAATGATCAACATGAGTACAACAAATCATCATTTATCTTGACAATTGCTTGGTAAAAGGTTGAAGAGAGGAGTAACACGTATAGCTACGGAGTAGTGCTAATGAAACTCCTCACTAGGAGAAGGCAATTGGACCCTAAATTCGGAGAATCTATTGGTATTGTAGGATGAATGTGCAGAAAATGCATCATAAATCTTTAGAAGCTTAGATCCAACTATAGGAAACACTAAGAGGGTATTTGGTGGGAGATTAAAATTAGATTTCTTCGTAGATTGTGATAAAAGTTCTTAAAATGTGTGGTTGAAAAATTGTGAGACTCATGAAAGATATGGTTAATATTAATTATTTAACTTTAAATTAAAATCAGATTTTAATCCAAATCAAACGGTTCTAAACATGTTCAAGAAGAGATGTTATTAGTCCTACGAATAGCCATACTTTGTACAGCCAAGCTCCCCAAGGATAGACCTTCCATGCGGGATGTTTTAACAATGCTCGAAGAGGCTAAACCTCGGAGAAAAAAGCAGCAGCAACAATGGAGGAAATTCTACTAACAAAAATTGGCCAGTATTTATCACATCACCTGTAAACGGCCTTCTGTAAGAACAAATTCTGCTTTCCTTCCAGGCCATCATTATTTTTGAGTTTTTGATGGCTTAAGCCACTTAAACAATCCCCTGGTTGTCCGGGGGGTATGTGGGGGTTGTCACACATGAATGGTCCTTTTGTACCTAGTTTTTGTTTAATAGGTTCAGAAATCTTTTGCCTCCTTGGAGAGAGGCTTTCTCTTGCAAATAACACAGTAATTCTTCTCATATATGCAAAATTATTGAGCTAAGGTGTATATCAAGGAATAGAAGTTTAACAAATAATATAACGTAATGGCGCCATCCTGACAGGCTCGTGTACAAAAACCATGCACATGTATTCTTTCATTAACAAAGATAAGATCAACAGTTTGTGGGTGCGGAGAAATCAGAACAAAACCAGCAGAAACTCCCATAGTTACAATGACTTCCAGTGCAGACTGTGTATCCATATGACACGAAAAACTAGCACTTGTGTTTTGTATACCAAAAGACTTCCCCAGAGAGTGGCGTGTATATGATGTGTGGAAAGTGTATAGCACGAAAAAGAAGTGACCAAAATCATACAAGCAAAGACGACCAAAACCGATAGTTGCCTCAACAAAATTCTTCAACCACACAGTATCTCCATTTATCTTTCTGTTCTTCGTTCTGCTTGACAAGATTTGGAACATAATTTATATTGGTGCCATCGACTGTATCCGGTTCCTTTCATTAGATCTTGGGGCTGCAATCAAGAAGAGACATATAAGAGGCATGAAGAAATTGTTGAATAACCTCAGTTATAAGCTTACGCTGTTAGTCACATGTTTAGGGTGGCTTAAAGTGAACTTATAAACATGAGAGAGCATAAGCTAGTGTACACTTACCAAATCCATTAGCCTCAACTGTCCTCATGATTCTAAGCCTCTTCACCGAGATAAGAAACATCCTGATAATTTCACAGTAGCCATGGTATTGTCAATATAAACACGATGACATTCATTAGAAACTATAAACAAGATATAGAGAAAACGTTAAATTTAATGATATCAATATTAAATTATTCCTTCTATTTTAATGTTTTTCACAAGGACATTAACTGGCCATAGAGATGCAGAATATCAGTCAGAAATTATTTATCATGTGAAGTCAAAGGGACATACTCCCAAGGAACATCTCCAACGAGCATCCAGTCTCCTTCTTTGTCTTCATAGGTGAGCACAAACTCAGACGAACCATTCAGTAATCTTGAACGTCTTGTCTTTATAACTTGCTCCTCTGCATTTGAACCTAATGTTCAACAAAGCATCAGAATCGGTTAAGGAGCAATGTAGTTCACAGTAAGCATGGATACTTTAAGCACCCGAAAGAATAATGATTATGAGTTTCGCATTAGTTAAGGAAGACTAAACCTTTAATCCACACATCAGCTTGGAAGAGTTCAATATTTTTTCTTTTCTTTGGAGTATTCCAAATTTAAATAAACAAATGTCAGGGAGGGCTAATGCAGGACCTGAGGGTGGGTAGCATGGGACCAATAGCAGGTTTCACAAACACATTGTTTCGCAAAGCTCTTCACAAATTGAAAGGATGTAAAAGTGAAACTATAATGTTATGCATTAAGTTCTAGTCCCAATTACGAAAGTAACTATAAGCAATACGAAAATCAGAAACACGAAAAGTGAACACAGATTTACGGTGATTCTCCCCAATATTAGCTCTATATTAAATGGAAAATAGGAACTTACGTCTTGCACCAACTACTGCACTTAGTTTAAACATGTCATCCAATGTTTGAGATAAAGTCTCGTAGCAGCTATGGGCACTCAGATCTACTTTTCTTCCAATTGGGATCCTGTCCATGTTCACCTTCACGAACAAGGAAGTTTTGAGAAGCCCTTTTTCCTTAGCAACATTTCTGTTCAAGTTGCTGCCACAATTTGTCTTGTCCACAATAGTAGTCTTGTTTTTACATTTATCAATGGCCGGGGTAATTTCTTCAGTCTTTGGTGATTTTGCATTGTTTACCAAGCTTTGTATTCTGTAATTTCTTAAAGGAGGCCATCCAACAACCTGGCTGCTTTTATAAAATTGGTCGAGCAAATAAAAACAATATTGACATGATTAGCAATGACTGTGACATTTATATAATTAGATTCAGTTACTAAATTATGTATTCGTTAGTTTCCAAAGCTGTTGCCCCATCAGTAATCCGGAAATCTCAGGGGCTGTTACGAGATAAGGAAAGTGAATACAATTAAATAGAAAGAGGTAAACCACTTTGCCAGAACAATCCTAGGTGTCATGGTGTTTTGATGGAAAAGATGACTGTGTTTTAAACAGTCCAATAATAGAGTGCTGTGTAGCATTTTGTCAACAAATATGACAGTTATTCTGGCACAGTAGCATGGTTCAAATAGAATAAAGGTTTAACAAATCTAATACTCAGCGTCAATTAAAGAGCTCTTGTAAAGATTGATGAACTGGGGGATGGCTAATATTAAAGAGATCTCTTAAGTTCTTGAATTTATTTCAATTAATAGGTACACAACAAATTCTTAGCACTTTAAGATGAAATCAACCTTCCTTGATTTGAATTTGCTTTTGGCGTGCCTTAGTTTAGTGATATGGAGATATAAATGTACAGAAAACAAACTAAGCTTGTTTACATGAATTCTGTTTCACAGATTCGGATTTACAAAGTTTTATATCAATTATCAACCTACTATTACCCTCATTTATCTTGGCTCTCGACCTTTTATGAAAAATATAAGCAAGTTTCTTTTTTTCAGGTATCAGATTCCTCAAGAATCAATAGCATGTACAATAGAACAGCAAATTTAGAGGGGATAACATAAAATCCAAATAAAAAATAGGAATTCCAAAAACTCCATAAATCATATAACACATATTCCATTAGCCGAAATTGTGAACCCAAAAACCTCAATATTCACAAAATCAGATAAAAAAGATTATGTTATTACCTTGCGCCAGACCGGCCAGGTGGCGAAGAAGGTTCAGCAGTTCTTTTGACCCCACAGGAAGGATTATTATTAGTTTTTGTCATAGAAGAAGATGAAGATGAAGAAGATGAACATTCTTTAGGAGAAACCACAGAGCGAAAATCTTTAGCCGTCAAGATTCTAGCATATTGACCCCAATGACCCGCCATCGCAGCCTCCACTGCCGCCGGCGAAGGCTTAGTCTTAGAATTTGCACCGCCACCACCAAGACTCAGGCCAAGGCCTAACTCCAACTCAGACTCCTCTGGATATGAACAAGATTCCTCAGACGACATAGCCATGTTATTTTCTTCCCTTGATACGGTTGACCTAACACCAGAAATTTCACCGACTGCCGCCACCGCCAAGAAGTTTATTTTCCATTAAAAACTTCGCCGAAATATTTGAAAGTAAGAAACTTTTTGGGTTTAGAGAAGAGAGAAGAGTGTTTTTGTTGGGTGGAAGGCAGTGATGGGAATAGGTGGGTCCAAGATGTCGGCTTTGTGCGCCACACTCCATTGCAGACTTCTCCTACTTCGAAACAATCAACCATGTCTGACCTAACAAGGAACTCCAATTTATCGCCTTGATATTTTGCTTTTCAATTTATCGTCTGGATATTTTTCATCCTTTTGCCAGTTAAAATAAAATTGCACCTTTCTACGGTTTATATTGACTGAAAAATAGAAAATTCCCTTTTTTCTTGTCTACTTCATCGAAATTTGTCTAAAAGAAGTAAAAGATAGAAACTGATAGAACTTTTTTGTACTTATGAAAAAAATGTTGTTTGCTAATGAAAGACAAAACAAAAATATCTATTTTATAGAGCTTTAGATGAAAATTTGAAAAAAAAAAAAATAGAACATACCTATAAATATGTAAAAATGAAAATTATTTGTGAATACATAGATTATGCCCCCGTTTCGCCTCCATTTTTTGGAAATGAAAATGTGTTATTTATTCGATCTGAAGCAGGTCAGGGAGAGGAGACTGATGAAACAGATTCAACTTACCTCGATGGAATAGTATTTTTTTGAAAAATGATTGGTTGAAAAAGAAAGCAAAGTTTTCGATTTACAAGTAATATTATTTTATAGAAAATTATGTGGTTGAAAATAAGCAAGAGAAAAATAAAATATAATGAAATTTAATGTAATGAGATTCAAAGAAGGGCAATAACAGTAGCCAAATGAGGACCAACGAAAGTCACTCCTCCATCTTAGAAAATAATATAAAGAAAAAGTTTCCACTTGAAGCCAATTTGCACTACCAAACTACTACAAAAATATAAGGGTTTACCTAATGGTTTACCGAATTGACAAGTGGCGGCCTCCTATTGGAGGGGCGGCTGTGGGGACAATCGTCCCTTCAATAGGGAGCCGCCACTTGTCAATTCAATAAAACATTAGGTAAACTATTTGGTACAAATAAATTAATTCAACTAGAAATAGGACAAAGGGTAACGTAAACAATTACATGGTAACTTAGGGGAGAAATTGAAATTATCGCGGAGAATAGAAGTGTTCTAATGATTCCGTAACTTAGAAGATTGAGAATTGAGGTGGGGACAAACAAGAGTTAGCCAAAGGACAAACCGACAACAAGTGGGTCCCAATTTGGGAACTAGGGACACGTGGAAAGTGATTAAGTTAAGTAGATTAATTTGTGTCTGAACTTTTATGGAACATGTCTGGTAATAAAATATTTACCCGTCAATAAAATAAACATTTGATTTTTTCAAAAAGTGATTTTTGAAGAACACATCATTAGAAGCATAGATAACTCTGAAATGGGACCCACGAGAGGATACTAGTACTAGTCACAGTGAGAACAAACCACTACGTTTTGACTGTATTTTCACGCCCTCGCACACCTTATTTCTTCAACTTGACACTGCAATTTGGTAGTTGTGGGATTTGTCTCCAGTCTTCCTTTTCGCTTTTTCTGACTGTAATGTTAAATCACATCTGATTGTCGATAGTAGCGTCCGCTCTTAGCTGCCGCCACAACCTCCCGTTTTATAAAAAATTCAGTATTATGGATTCAAACGTACATCGATAATGAATGTTAACTTACAACCAAATCTACCATCAGGATTGATTGCGATCACAAGAATAATAATCGCAGTTAGCATTGATGATGGACCTGACATACATTGGTACACGTCACAGCTCGAGTCCATTAGTGTGATTTAAGACAAGTCATGCCAATAAACGTGTCAGTTAGTGTTCATTGCTGCTTGAGGAACTGATACTGATTATAATTATAGTCGGAAGGAAAAAGAACAATATGGCATTCAATATTTATGGAAAGAGACGAAGGTCATGAATCATTTGTTGATGAGCATTGTTGAGGGGGGAAGTCTTCCCAAGCAGTTAACGGGACATATTTCATTTTCGTTTGAGAATAAAACTACTACTATTCAACCTCGTTTGAGCGTAGTTCTTTTATGGAGAGGTGTTTTTGAAAGCTAATCTTTTGGTCATTTTGGTTCACCTAGTCTTATACTTCAGAGAATCTCAAATGGCAATCCACTTAAGAGGCCAAGAGACAGACAAGACTACACCACAGCAGACCAGAAGTTCCTGAATTGTGCTGTTTGTCTTCTGCTTCGTTCATTAACTCGTGCATAGTTTCCCGTATTGCCAATATCTTTAATTTATGTTGCCCAGTCTTCCTTTGACACGTCTTGTCGAGATTGTGTCATTCTTATGAACGGGAGTAACAACCTAAATCGTTT